ATATTCAAAACTTAGCACTATAGACTTTTTATATCTCACACTGCAGAACTTTTCAGAGGGCCCCTTTCCTTACTCCCTAACCGGGAATGCATCAAATTCTAATGAATAGCTGTCTTTACCCAAAGTCCACAAGAATTATCCTTCACGCAATAGACTTTCTATATCTCACACTGCAGAACTTTTTAGAGGGCCCCTTTCTTTACTCCCTAACTGGGAATGCATCAAATTCTAATGAATAGCTGTCTTTACCTAAAGTCTATAAGAACCCATTTCATCCTTCATGCAGGAGGCCATCGCTTTGTCAAGTGCATCCTGCATAGTGCCTTTTTGCTTTCTCACTATCTCCTCTATTCGATCTGCCATAACTCCAGAAGCCTCCCCTTGTCTGCGTCCTTCCCTCTAAAAATCTTCTCATTTCTAGCAAGCCATATTGTCCAAACAATACCAAAAGAAATGCATTCCCATCCCTTCTTCATTTTCGTCATTTTTAATAAATTAGAGTGCTGCTCAAACACCTTCAGGCAGTCTTTATCAAGCACACTTCTAATTTCCCACCATTTGAAACAGTCATTCCTCAGTTGCCTAGCTAATTTACAGTGAATAAAAAAGTGGCTACAGTCCTCAATTTCCATTCCACACAAAACACAATTGCAGTCCGCAAGAGTTTGAATAATACCTCTTTTTTGCAAATTAAGCTTTGTGGAGATTTTGTCCTGCAATAGCTGTCCTTACCTAAAGTCTACAAGAACCCATTTTATCCTTCACGCAGGAGGCCATCGCTTTCTCTAGTGCATCCTGCATAGGGCTTTTTTGCTTTCTCACTATCTCCTCTATTCGATCTGCCATAGGTCCTGTGTTCGTCTCTGAAATTGTGCCAATGGATGAGAATGCAGCTGATGAAATCATGAGGGAGGTTGATATAGATGCAGCCGGTGAAATTGTGGAGGAAGAGGAAGAAATCGAACTCGTTGATATAGAGTTGGAGGAGAAAGAAATCGAACTCATTGATAGAGAGTTCAGTGCTGACAATGCAGTCGAGGAAATCGGCAAGGAGAAGGAAATCATAGGGGAAAACGATGTGTCTCCTATCAGAGAAGTCCAGCAAACCGTACCCACCACTGATGACCCAAAGCTCCCAGTGTTGACGTTTCCAGTGCGGTTTTTGGGATGCTGTCCTACGTTTTGCTCTCGCTCCTCAACTCCTTCTTGAGATACCGTACTGAACCATTCTTAGTCTCGATGATGTTTGTCCAAATGGTCACTCTCCCAATCGGTAACTTCTTGGCCAAGGTGCTTCCCTCCACCAAGTTTCGCATCCACAATAGCAGATGGAAGTTTTCTCTAAACCCTGTCCCATTTAATGTCAAAGAGCATGTCTTGATTTCAATTTTCGCTCAAACCGGGACTGCTTTTGGTGGGGGTACCGTTATGCAGTCGGCATTGTGGATGTCATTCGGTTGTTTTACCACAAGAAGATCACTTTCTTTGCAAGTTGGATGCTAGTCATCTCTACACAGGTATATATTTACACAGTTTAGAGTTTACGTAATCCACGTTACATTCACACTAATAAAGAAGAGGGAGAACAGAGAGAACAAGGAATCTGCAAAGGCAAACTAAAAAAATTAAGAAAACACAATTAGAGAGGAAGGAAAAAAAAGAAGGGAGAAAAAACCATCATTGTTTGTTTGAATTTTTTTTTATTATTAACAACGGGATTAATAGGATTTGGTAGTTGAAAGCACAATTTGTTGTAGCATCATTGGTGATTGATTCCGGCTATTTTTCAAGTGTTTGTATTTTTTTATGTTGATGAGTTTCTGATTAGAGCTTGGTGCAGCTTTTGGGGTATGGATTGGCGGGGATTATGAGAAAGTTTGCGGTGGAACCTGCCCATATGTGGTGGCCAGATAGTCTAGTTCAAGTCTCCTTTTTTAGGTAAAATTTATGCATTTTTTATTGCAGTCATGTATGGTTTTGGTTTAATTGACTACTAGATGATACCCGTGCCATGCGTGGGAACTTTAATTACAAAGAAATTCTAAGTTTTTATAGTTTTGTTTCAAAAATCGCATAAATAGGTCCTGAAAAAGGCATAAATTTAATCTCTATTGCGGATGCGAAACTTGGTGGAAGGAAGCACCTTGGCCAGGAAGTTAAATAAATAGAGATGACTAACATCCAGCTTGCAAAGAAAGTGATCTTCTTGTGGTAAAACAGCCAAATAACATCCACAATGCCGACTGCATAAGCGGTACCCCCACCAAAAGCAGTCCCAGTTTGAGCGAAAACTGAAATCAAGACATGCTCTTTGACGCTAAATGGGACAGGGTTTAGAGAAAACTCCCATCTGCTATTGCGGATGCAAAACTTGGTGGAGGGAAGCACCTTGGCTAGGAAGTTACCGATGGGAGAGTGACTAACTGGACAAACATCATCGAGACTAAGAATGGTTCCGTACGGTATCTCAAGAAGGAGTTGAGGAGCGAGAGTAAAATGCAGGACAGCATCCCCAAAAACCACACTCAAAACGTCAACACTGCGAGCTTCGGGTCATCAGTGGTGGGTACGGTTTGCTGGACTTCTCTGATACGAGACACATTGTTTTCCTCTATGATTTCTTCCTCCTCACCAATTTCCTCGGCTGCATTGTTAGCATTGAACTCTCTATCAATGAGTTCGATTTGTTCCTCCTCCAACTCTATATCAATGAGTTCAATTTCTTCCTCTTCCTCCACAATTTCCTGGCTGCATCTATATCAACCTCCCTCATGGATTTCATCAGCTGCATTCTCATCCATTGGCACAATTTCAGAGACGAACACACAGGACCTATGGTAGATCCAGATCTGTTTCTTTAAAAAATTCATCGTGTTTGTTTTTATTTTTTTATGGGTGTTTGTTCTTTTTAGATTTGATGTTAAGATTGTATGTGTTTTGTTGAAAAATAAATGAAAAATAAAAAAAATTGTCCAGTTCATTTTGTCTGATGAATGTGTTTTTTTTTTTTCTTCTGTTGCTGAATGTGATTTTTGTATGATGAACATGTTCTTTCTTTTGAAATTGATGAACCCTAATTGCAAGTTTCATTTTTTTTTTTTTTATGTTTGATCTGTTTTTGTTTATTTTGAATTGTGGGTTGTGTTTCTGGGTTGGGTTAACCTATATACATATATAAACTAAAAAAGTAAAAAAAAAAAAAACTAAAAAAAGTAAAAAAGGTAAATATATATATTTGAATAAAATTGTTAATTAATTAATTGGGTTAATCTAATTTATGATTAATGAAATTAATTAATCTTAATTAAAATAAATTAATCATGTTTATTGAATTTGATTTGAGATGATTAGATTTATTTAATCATCTTAATTAGAGATCAATATATGCGATTAATTAATTTTAATTAATGTTAATTAACGTCAAATTAATCACTCAATTAGGTTAATTATCATGATTAATTAATTTAAAATTTTAATTTCCTTTAATCTAAATCTTTAAGTTTCTTTTAAATTTGGTCAAAAGTAAAAGTTATCTTTTTTATTTCAATTTCACCCAAAAATTTTATGATTAAGCAATTTAGTCCAAAGGTTTCAAATCTTTTCAAATCAGTCCCTCACATTTATGATTTAATCAAACTAGTCCTTGTAATTTTTATTTGTGCTTGTGATGCGTGCATGTCTTTGATTTTGTCCATTTTAGTCCAAAAATTTAAAAATGTTTCAATTTTGGTTTATCCTTTTTTAAGTTTGCCTATTAAGACTTAAACGTAAATATAATAAATAAGCTGAATTAAAACTCCAATGTTTAAGTATGCAATCGTGTTTAGACGGAGGATTGTGAGGTGCAAACATGCCCTTTCTTACTCCTAATTGAACCCTGAACCTCGATCTCTGTGCAGATCTATTTTGTAGGTGACTTGTCCCACCTTATAATTTGAACGAGTGACGACTTCTTTTCTTTTATGTTTCACACTTAATGTAATGTTTTTAATTTTAAGTTTAAGTGTGGTCATCAACAGATTGACGACTCCACAAGAGACCGAACCCAGAATCTCTGGTTTTCATATTTTGGGTTCACAAAGGTCGAGCTAATACTTTAACTTTGGGGATTTTTCAGCTTTCGATTTTCTTTGATTGTTGAGTCTTTGTGGGTCTTTGTCATTTATTGTATGTGCTTGTTGTGTGTTGCTTGTTACTTGTTTGCTCATTGTTTTAGTGGTTGGGATCTGCCATTTCTCTCAATCGTCGGCCTTCTCATTTTCCATCGACTCTGCTATGCGTCTCTTGTCGATATAGATTTGAAATAGAGGAATTTTAGAGCAACAGTGAGGAGAATGATCCAGGCCTGATCCTGTGGGTAGGATCCCCTAGATTGGACACCGATTTGTGACCTAGAAACTCCGCCTTTTTCTTGTTTTTTATTGAAATTGTTACTATTGTTCTTGAGTGGAAATGATATGGATTGTTGTGAATATAAGGAACATTTAAGGTATTTCCTAGCTTTTGTTCTATTCTGTGGTTAAAAAAAAAAATTGCAAAAGTATTGTTCCTAATTTTTTTTTTCCCTTTGTTTTGGCCACAGTTTGTTTTATTGGAATCAACCCTAAATTCCCTAATTTGAGATTGCGATTAATCTGTTTTAACCTCTTGGGATCAATGGACTTTGTTTATGGGTCGGGTTAACCCAACCTAGAAATTATGGACCAAAATCAAACAAAAAAGGAATGTTCACTAAAATAATAAACGTAAATATGATCAGATTTAATTTGGTATAAAAATAGAAATTGATATGCTCAATTAATTGCCTTTAATTAGAATATTTGGGTTTATTTAATCATTCTAATTAAAGTTGATTAATTTGATTAATTATTTAATTAATTTTAATTAATTCCTAATCAATCAAGCTTAATTATGTTTAATTTGAGTCATCACATTAAAACATAATAGAAATCAATCATCTTTGTTTTAAGAACAGTGATTGGTACACCCTCTAGTTCAACACCCTTCGGTTCAACATCCTTTGGTTCAACATCTTTCAGTTTAATAATTAAAAAATCACTATTTTTTAGATATTTTTTAGTCTGAAATTAAAATAGACAAGTATAATAATACATTTATGCACACAGGATACAGGAACTGGTTGATTTGACTGTATTTATATTATATTTTTAATTATTAAATCAAAGGGTGTTGAACCGAATGTTAAACCGGAGGGTGTACCAATCATTTCCGTTGTTTTAATGTTGATTTTGCCCAAAAGGTTTTTTTGGAGATCGAGCAATTAAGCCTAGAAATTTTATATCTTTTCAAATCAATCCTCCATGTTTCAAGTTTAATCAAAACAATTCCTCTATTTTAATTTTGTTGCAATTATGCATGCATGTTCTTGATTTTGTTCAATTCAATCCAAGTATTTTCAAGCTTCACAATTTCATCCATTTACTTTTATTAGTTGACTTAATCAAAATCGAAAATAATAAAACTTGAATAAATCCTCAAATGTTAAAGTATGCAACCGTGTTCTACACAAAGAATTGTGGGATGTGAATATTAGAGTTAAGGTTTAAGTACCATTTTGGTCCCTCAACTATCCACTTTGGTACCAAAATTGTCCCTCAGCTTTAACAAGTACCAAAATTATCCTCAAACTTTCATTTTCGGTACCAAAATGGTCCTTCCGTCAGTTAAATGACAGGTGGCACGTTATCTTGCCACAAAATTACATTTAAAAAAAAATTAATAATTACATGGAAAATCCACGTAACATTATTTGATGAGATGGCATTTTTGTTTTTACATGTGGGTTAAATACCCTTTTTGGTCCCTCTACTATAG